ATGCCTGTCTGTTGGTCCACTTAGGAATCTTGATCCTGGTTGTGTGGTGGTTTGGTGTAGTGGTTAAGTGTGCAGACTCTAATCTGGGAGAACTGGGTTTGATTCCCCACTCCTCCACTTGCACCTGCTGATGTGACCTTGGGTCAGTCACAAGCTCTGGCACAGCTGTCCTTGAAAAAGAGCAGTTTCTGTCAGAGCTCTCTCAGCCCCACCTACCTCACAAGGTGTCTGTTGTGGGAAGGGGAAGGGAAAGGAGTTTGTAAGCCGCTCTGAGACTCCCTTGGGTAGTGAAGGGCGGGGTATAAATCCTATCTTTTCTTCTTCTTCTTGTGTGGTGGGCTAGCTGTGGCAAATGGTAGGGAAGCTCAGTATTTCTGTATAAAGTTGTAGGGGCTTTATTGCAATGTGGTATGGCCTGATATTATGTTCTTATTCCAGTGTGGGGTGTGTGTGGGGGCTTTCTAAGTTTCTAAGCAGTGTTCTAAGTTTCTTCTTGTGTGGTGGGCTAGTTGTGGCAAATGGTAGGGAAGCTCAGTATTTCTGTATAAAGTTGTAGGGGCTTTATTGCAATGTGGTATGGCCTGATATTATGTTCTTATTCCAGTGTGGGGTGTGTGTGGGGGCTTTCTAAGTTTCTAAGCAGTGTTCTAAGAAGGCAACTGTTCCTGGGGTTAGCCCAGCCCAGGGACATTGCTAGGGCGGTTCCCAGGCCTCCCTAAATTTCTGGGGAGCCCATCCCTAAACCCCACATGGGTCCACCTCCATAGATAATGACCATGCCTGTGATGTCACTAGATCCTCCCTATGATGTCATTGGGTCCCAGTTCTTTTAATGACTTAGCAATGCCTCTGGCCCAGCCCCAGCCCCCCCCGGAAAATTGGAAAGTCTACGCCCTTGCCTGGCTGATCTTGATAGACCAAGGGTCTGATTCAGAAGAAGGCAGCTTCGTGTATGCTCAGCCCCTTAGGATGGGTGCAAGCATGCAACCTTTTACTGGAATGCTTCCCCGTTGACACTCTGCAGACAAATAACATCACATGGAAGAGTGGGGTCCAGGAGGGGGGGGCATACTCCAGATGCAGGAGGCATAGTCCAGATGCAGGCATACTCCAGATGCAGGAGGCAAGAGAGGGCAGGAGGTGGAGGGCACCAAACTACACTTCAGGATGCCCCCTGGCCTGCCGCCTGGCCGTGACCCGGGGCGAGCCTCTTTCTCGCTCAGCCTCCGTCCCTCCCTGTCGTCTGCTGGAGGGGAGTCATAACTGGTGGCCCACCTCACGGGGTAGTCAGACAGCCAGCGTCTTCCTTGCGTATTACGGGAGAGGCAAGGGCTGGGACCACGTGGATGGCCTGGCCCGAGGCTGCAAATGAAGGACCTTCTTGTCTCCCTGCAGTTCGACATCAAGAAGATAGTGAGGGATCTGAGACGTCAGCGCTTTGGCATGGTTCAGACCAAGGTAAGGCTTCTGGGCTGGGTTCCCTTGACGCACAGACAGAACGGAGCTAACTGTAGTCAGTCAGTCAGGCAGGCATTTATTACGGCAACAAGCCATAGAACATACATGCTTAAATACAGGGCTATTTTTGGGCAGGAACGCACAGGAACGGAGTTCCGGCTGGCTCCCGATCAGGCCACACCCAGCAGGAACTCATTAGCATAATAGGCCACACCCAACAGCAGGAACTCATTAGGATTGGCTACATTAGGGGTGTGTGGCCTAACATGCAAAGGAGTTCCTGCTACAAAACAAGCCCTGGGTGTTGACAACAAACAAGGTAAACGGAATAAGAAGCAAAAGGTGGGTGTGGCTGGATGACCACACTTCTGGTAACATGGGTGTGTGGCCTAATAGGTTAATGAGCTGTGCTGTCAGGGGTGTGGCCTAACAGGCTAATGAGTTTTCTGCTGTTGGGTGTGGCCTGTTATGCTAATGAGTTCCTGCTTAAAACAACTGGCTAGCTTGTCTAGTATCAGGTGATTTGCAAATCTCATTTGGTCAGGCAGGAGAGACCTACAGAGATGTCTTCGTCTGCTGCAAGACCAGGAGGAGGAAAGAAAGAACACAAAAGGATAGGAAGGGTATGAGGAGTGAGGGGAACTGCTCCCTTAGACAAGGGCCCATTCTGCATCTAGCATTTGCTCCGTTGTTGTACCAAACCCACACTGGAACAGAAAAAGATGAGGCTCAAAACCACGTTCAACTACCCCAGGCCAATGCCATACTGACTGTAGTTCCCTTGCTCGAAAGCCAGTCGAATCCGACTCTAGGGTTGCGGTGCTCATCTCCGTTTCAAAGCCGAAGAGCCAGCGCTGTCCGAAGACGTTTCCGTGGTCATGTGGCCGGCATGACTAAACACCAAGGCGCATGGAACGCTGTTACCTTTCCACTGAAGCGGTACCTATTTATCTACTTGCAATTTCTTGCTTTTGAACTGCTAGGTTGGCAGGAGATACTGACTGTAGAGTCATCCCTGAATGGCCATAAAACAGCCATAAATCTATGCAGACGGCTACCGTAAAACTGAGAGATCAAACAAAGTGAAAGGGGCATGCAGTCTGGACGCTGCCACGAAATTCGGCAATCAACCAAAGTGACAGTGGCATGCAATGCAGAGGGGAGTTTCTGTTCCAGTGTGGGTTTGGTAAGACAGCGGGGCAAATGCTAATGCAGATCGGGCCTTGGTTAAACGCTGGTGTAACCCAGAGGAACAGCTCCTGCAGTTAGAAAAAGTGTGGATGCTTCCGGGGTTGGAAGGTTCCCTAAGTGTGGCCATTTCTCCAGCACCTTTGTCTTCGGCTCTGAAATTCAACCAGCTCTTCTTCACGTGCAGGAGCAGTATGTGTTTTGCTACGAAATCGTGCTTGACGTCCTGAAGAACATCCAGAACATGAATTCCCAGCTGGTCTGCTAAGGAAGACTCTGCCGTCCCCGTCTCCCTCGGACTCTCCTGGTTCTTTGCAGTCCATTCCACTGAGGTGCCCCCGAGGGCACCCAAAGGTGCTGTGTGAACAGAATTGGGTGCATATGTGTGTTTGAAGAACACGGTGTTCTGAAGTGTTACCTACGAAGAGGAGGCACTCCAAGGGTGGACATGTGGCTGAGGAACAGGCTATGAAATACACACGCCGGTCTCTGAACTCGGTTCTGCTTGTATTTGTAGTGGTGTGTCGAGGCCCAGGAAATTATCTGGGGCTAATGGCTGGGAGGGTGTGAGACATTCCGGGGTCACGAAGAGTTTCCTCTTTCTTACTGGCCTCTTGCAGTGGCATCTTGTGAGCCTACATTTTGGACAGACCTGCTTTGTGTCCCATGACAAATCCCTCCAGGAAAGACATAGCTCATCCCCATCTCTTGGTTTAAGACTATGGCCAGTCTCAGTCATCAGTATCCTCGGAAGCCTTGCTGAAACACAGCTGTGGTATGACATGACCTTTAAGCAGCAGCGGCAACACCTTCCAAACAAGCAAGGCGGAGTTACGCTGTAGGGCAATCCTTTCTAAGAAACGTACTTCCACTCTCCCTCTGAGAGTGGAAGTACCAGTTTGGTGTAGTGGTTAGGAGCGCGGACTCTAATCTGGGAGAAATGGTTTTGATTCCCCACTCCTCCACATGCAGCTGCTGGTGTGACCTTGGTGTACCCAAAGTTCTCTCAGAGCTGTTCTCTCAAGCACAACTCAAAAGAGTTCTCTCGGCCCCACCTACCTCACAGGGTGTCTGTTGTGCGGAGGTGAAGGGAAAGGAGATTGTAACCTGCTCTGAGACTCCTTTGGGTAGTAACGGGCGGGGTGTAAATCCAATCTCCTCCTCCTCCTCCTCCTCCTCCTCCTCCTCCTCCTCCTCTTCTTCTTCTTCTTCTTCTTCTTCTTCTTCTTCTTCTTCTTCTTCTTCTTCTTCTTCTTCTTCTTCTTCTTCTTCTTCTTCTTCTTCTTCTTCTTCTTCTTCTTGCCAAGCTGCGTGATAAATCCAACACATGCCAGGCAGAGTTCCCTCTAAGATGAGTTAGTGTGAGCTAGCTCACAGTTTTTTTAGCCTCCGGCTCACACATTTTTGTCTTGGCTCAGGAAGCATGGCTCCAGAGCAACCTAACTTATGCAGTAGCCAGATGGCTCACTCACAGCTATAATGCCAGTAGCTCACAAAGTAGGATTTTTGCTCACAGGACTCCATAGCTTAGAGGGAGCAGTGATGCCAGGTCACAGTTACACGACCCGACTCACTCACAGGCAGATGCACACTGTGGAAACTCACTGTAAAAAGTTCTCCTTCTCTCAGTGCTTGCAAGGGAGTCCTTGTGAGGGGGGAGGAACTTCGAGTTTCTCTCCCAGCCTGCTTTTGCCATCAGAAAAGGGCAGGAGGGTAGGCTTTTCACCCCCTGTTCCCTGACTCCACATGTCTTTCCAAGGGACATGAAGCTTTTTGCCCCTTTTATTTGGCTCCACATGTCTTTCTAGGGCACGTGGAACCAGAGAAAAGGGGCGACCCCCCCCCCCCAACCCTTTGTGCTGGCAAAAGTGGAGTGGGAGAGAAACTGGAAGCTCTTCCTCCCCACTTGCAGCACAAAGGTGAAGAGACAAATGGCACAGAAGGAAAAGGTTCTTTAATCATTGTACAACCCCTGCGTGTTTTGCATGCAGCTTTATCAGGGGGAATCTTCCAGATCTGTTTTAGTTCCGTTCCCATATAGGCACTTCAGCAGCACCAAATGAATGAGCCCCGTTTAAGGCGAGCTATGCTCCTCGAATGTACATCCGACTGCAAGTCTGGTCATACAACCATGATCCAGCCCACGTTGGGCATAGCGTGGGGCTTTGGTTCAAATGAAGTTGCTCGTGCCCTTGTGTTCAGTGAATGCATTCCCCCTCCTTTCTCGCCCTCTTCTGAATCTCACCAGTATCTCCTCCACAGAGGACAGAGTCAAGTTTCAACTCTGTTTTAGATGCTTTTTGTTCTTCCTTTCCCTGCTAACTCTCATGTCCTTGAGGTTTCACGGTGGCTTCACACATGACTGCCTTTTACCCAGAGAATAACTGCTGTGTAACAGCGTTCCGTGCGCCTCGGTGTTTAGTCATGCCGGCCACACGACCACGGAAACGTCTTCGGACAGCGCTGGCTCTTCGGCTTTGAAACGGAGATGAGCACCGCAACCCTAGAGTCGGATTCGACTGGCTTTCGAGCAAGGGAACCTTTACCTTTTTAAAAGCAGGAAAGTGCAAGAGTCCAGAAGCACCTGAAAGACTAACAAAATTTGTGGCAGGGGAGGAGCTCTTGTGAGTCACTGCTCACTTCTGCTACTGGTCTCTTGCTCTTTTTTATTGCTACAGACAGACTAACATGGCTACCCATCTTGCTGTGTAGAAATAAGTGCATGTTTTATATACATTATGGTTTGAATGTTGTCTGTTGGCAGAGTATTCCCAAGTTTACAATTGACACCTCAAGTCGATGTACCAGCAGCAAAAACTAGACTGTGACTATTTCTGCAGTAGTGAAATTCCCTGCACTGATGTTTTTAAAAGAGCGTGTTATTTGAAATTTTCCGCAGTAGATTCTCCCTCACCAGGCACAAACCTGTTTCCCCCTTTTTGCCCCACATTTTTGGAACTCGCTAAAACTGGGGATTCCGAAAATGCAGGATAAGAAGGAGGAAACTTCGGGTTTGCGCCTGGTGAGGGAAAATCTACTGCAGAAATCTTCACATAACGTGCCCTTTTTAAAACCTCAATGCAGGGAATTTTGCTACTGCGGAAATGGCCTTTGTGCTAACACAGGAAACTGTCCTTGGCCTGATTGGTCATCACTGGGGGGTCTCTTAACCGGGCTCACCTCTACATATCTCTGTACACGATGGGCACACTTTAACTATGTGACTGGGAGTAAGCTGCATACCATAAGGGGCTACCAAAGAGAGGTTCCCCAGCCCAAGACATTTTCCGTACAAACATCTCTCCCCCCTCTTGCATTTCTATTCCTTTGCCTCTTCAGCTGGTTTCCACAATGGTATTTGCTGTGCGAGGTGCAAAAACAAGGTTTGCTCCCCCTTGTGGCGCAGCAATGGTATTCCCGGAAACAGAGGTGTCTGATGCTGCGCCACCAGGGAAGACAGACCTCATTTTTGCATCTCGGGCTGCAAATACCATTGTGGAAGCCAGCTGAAAAGGCAGAGGAATAGAGATGCAAGAGTTGGGAGATATGTTTGTGCAGAAAACGTCTAAGGGAGCCAGTTTGGTGTAGTGGTTAAGTGCGCAGACTCTAATCTGGGAGAGCCGGGTTTGAGTCCCCACTCCTCCACTTGCACCTGCTGATGTGACCTTGGGTCAGTCACAAGCTCTGGCACAGCTGTCCTTGAAAAAGAGCAGTTTGTGTCAGAGCTCTCTCAGCCCCACCCACCTCACTGGGTGTCTGTTGTGGGGAGGGGAAGGGAAAGGAGTTTGTCAGCCACTCTGAGACTTCAAGTGAAGGGCGGGGTATAAATCCAATCTCCTCCTCTCCTAGGTCTGTCTTGTAACATTAATACTCATGGGTGTCATGCAAAGCAGAATCAGCAGACGCGAGGACTCAATATACCATTTCCCCCCATCATTGTCCCCCTGTTGGGAAGAAAAACAGGGTACGGTGTGGGAAAGCGTTAAGTACCCTTTCCTTTCCCCTCGAATCTCTCCTGCAAGTTCTTGCTTCTGCATTCCTGGGTTTTTTTTGGGGGGGGGGGGTTTGGCAATTGCAGGCTCAAAAACGTGTATCTGCTGAGTTAACTGTTTGCCGTAAATAGCCCTTTTTCAGCCTGAGATAAACATTCTGGAAGCAGCCTATATAGAGCAAAACGGGGATCCTCATTTCAAACCAAGCAGCACACAGCTTTCCTGGTCTGCACTCCTCCCGTTACGCACTTGCCAGGATGGACTCTTTGCCTGACAGAATGTTAAGGCAAGCAGGGCCGGCCTGAGGTTTTTCGGCGCCCTAGGTGAAACTAGTGCCCCCCCGCCCCCCCGCCGCCGCGTGCCTCTGCATGCACCCGCGAAGAAGTTCCATGATGACACTCCAGACTGGGAGAAAGGCAGGGAGGGAGGGCAGAGGGCGCAGCCGGAGGCGGGGAAGGGAGCCCGGGTGCAGTTCGGCACCCCTAAGGGCCGGCGCACTCTAGGCGAATGCCTAGTTCGCCTAGTGAGCGAGCCGGCCCTAAAGGCAAGAACGAAATAACTTTCATGTCATTACAAGGATTGGGGAGACCGGCGTGGCACGGCAGATGCCTCCAAAGGCAGCTGAAGGCTCCTCGTGACCCAGTAGCTATCAGAGTGGCTTCTTCTGGGCCTGACTCTGGCTTCCCCTGCACTGATTGGTGCTGAACGCGCCTGGGCTTTCAGTGTCGGGAGCAAGAGCAGGATCCGAGCCTTATGGGTTACATGACCCGAAGCAGAATCTTCCAAAAAAGCGACCGAAGCCTCAAAATTATGAAATGCTTTCCTTTCTTTACGGTGCACCTAATGTTTTTATGTTCTGTCGTTGCCCACTATCACTAACCAAAGCTGACTGTAGAACTTCCTACCTCTCCTCTTTCTAAGTTGTGCACGGATCGAATGTAATTTATAAAATTGCACACACACAAAATTCTTTGTACTAAGCTGATTCACAATAGTGTCTGAATGTAACTGTTCACCCAGCTTTGTCCATATATTAAAGATGGTTCCAAGACTGCTAAAACTGATACCTTTGGTCTTTTGCTGACAGTCATGCTGAAAAACTAAGATTCGTGTTGCTGCGGGTTTTTTTAAAAAAAAACAACTTGTGCTTTCTTTCCAGTTGTTTGATTGAATCAATTAAAGTATGGAGTGTTTGAACTATATATGTTCAGACCAGTGTTCCCTCTAAGCCGAGTGAGTGTGAGCTAGCTCACAGTTTTTTAGCCTCCGGCTCACA